GTAAGATGTTAGGTCCAGGGTCTAGAATATCGTTTGTTGAGCATTTTCCACGGTCTGCTGTGTTTCCAGCAATTACAACTCTTAGAGGAGTACTAGCACTTGCTGGTCTTTCTACACCATGGTGTGAAAGTTCAGTAAATGGAGTTCCTCTTAATTCAAGTTCCTCTAAGGAAGTCTTTGTTATCACTCCTGTATCTTCCCAGTCCTTTATAAATTTGTGATATTCCTCAGCCATGATTCCCCCCCTGTCTAAGAGCCTGATTACTGAGTTTATTCTTTGTTCTCCAGCACGTAAATTGGGAGACCAACAATCATAGAAGTTGGAGTTTTTTAGAAGGGGAGCAACTACTCTTCCTGTTTCAGATTGAGTCATTGTTAGTAAGTACTTAATGAGCTCTTCCTTATCGGAATTTTCCAGTTCTTCTTCTTGCTTTCCAAAAATTTCAAACCTATCTAGTCGAAGGTGTCTGGAGATTTCTTCATTTAGTTCAAGATCTAAAGGCTTAGTTTCGCAAACTCTGACTGAAAAGACAAGGGATCTTTCTGATGGGTACACAATCTTTGTGTCAGGGTTCCAATTTCCTCTGGGAATCAAGCCAACATTGGAAGATAGAAGTTGAAATTGTTTGAGAGAAACATAAGGTTGCACACCCGTTGAAAAGATTGAAATTAAGTCTTTTCCTCCTATGATAAGGTCAAAGGGAACGTCAGTAGAATTTACCGTTCGTTTATCGGCTAGAAGATGTTCGTATTCTTTCATCCAGGATAAAGTTTGAGGATTGCTTCCTTCCCAGGGTCCCTCGAGGGGTACTATTAGTGCATTGATAGTATAGGAAAAATTGTGATTATTAACTGCTTGAAGAGTGAAGGTAGAAAAAATGCGAGATCTGATATCTCTATCATATTTGTTTACACCAGATATTCTGAACCCAGAAGGGTGTCTTTCTTCTATAAGATTTAATCTGCTGACTGCATCAGAGGTGATTAGATTAATTTGAGCTCCGGAGTCTAATAAAGCAAAAATTGGCTCATGAGATTCGACTTCTAAAAATTCGGCTGTTTCCACAAAGGAGTTTGGGTAGTTTCCTCTTGTCAAATTTATTTGAATGTGCTTGTCATTTTCTAGTCAGGAAGAAGAGGATGAAGATGAGGTAGGGTTCTCTGTTTTAGTAGCTTGAGCAATTTCCTGTGGAGCTGATTTGATTTCATTTACCTTTTCGTTTACGAGTTTGGTGAGAATTTCGTTTAGGTCACTACTTACTGGGTAATTTGGGTTTGGTACTGAGGTGGAAGGATTAGGGACCTTCCTAGAGTCTAAGGGTTTAAAGAATTTACAGGTAGATGAATGATGATCTTTATTGCAGTGAAAACACCTAAATTTGCTGCGACAGAATGAGTTTCTGTGTCCGCCTCGGAGGCAATTCCAGCATAATTTCCTTTCGTTAACGATGCGTCTTTTTTCTTCTAGAGTTTTTAAACATTGCAGAGGGCTATGATTTTCTCCACAATAATTGCAAGTGGAAGGGGGAAATTTCCTCACAACAACCTCATTGTTATTCTGTTGAAAATTGTTCCTTTGAGGATTTTGATTGAAGTGTTGTCTTTGATTTCCATTGCGATTCTGATTGTAGTTTTGATTTTGTCTGAAATTTTGGTTTTGATTATATTCTTGGTTTTGAGGGAAAGAATTAGATTGCGGTAAATTGGGAGCGTATGAATTTGCGGAGGTTGACTGAATTTCTTGTTTGATGTTATTGGGTTGAATTTCTTGTTTGACTTGCGAAAGGTGCTGGTGTGATTGTCTCTGTTGTTGATCTTGAACTGTAAAGATTCCTCCTCCATTTTGAAAGGAATTTGTATCAGTAGACTTAGGTTCTGCGGACTTATTGAATTTTTGAACTTGTTTTGAATTGATAGAAGTTTTATAAATTGTGACCATTTCGTCTTTGGGTTTTTTAAGGATTCCAGTATCAAGTTCCCTCCAGTACCAACGATAGATACGTTCAGGATTTATTTCCCATTCGGCTTGAAGAGATGGAGTGATTCGTCCTTTTAGGATCTCATAGAAATTTCCTTGATTTAGAACGTAGTGAACGTTTGGCCA